TTTTTCCATATTGTTGCAACAGTAGACTTTCCAAGTGCTAATGCCTTACAAATGTCACTCTGCTTTACTCCACTTTTTATTTTGTTAATAATCTCGTACGTTTCATTTAGTGAAAAAGCTTTGCGTTTTTGTTTTTTTATTCTAAAACGATTTACATACATAACGCGGCAAAAAACAACAAGTCACTGCCTGTCTCTCGCTCTCACTAATATATACAACTCTGCACGATTCGTGTTGCTGAGCGTGGAAGTTCGTTATAAACGGAAACTGAATATAGAACTAACCTAAAAAGTAATCGTTATATCCGGAAGTTCGTTATAAACGGGTTCGTTACAACCAATAAAAAAAACGTTGGTCTTTATGGACGACGTTTCAATTAAAGGAAAAAAGTTTGTTTTAACCGAAAGTTCACTATAACCGGGTTCATTATAAGCGGACTTTACTGTATTTGAAACTGAAACTTCCTTATTAAGGGATGGCTTATTTCTAGACTCAATTGAGTACCTATGGGTACGTGTCAAAATACAGCAAACTTTATTACTGCCTGTCCTTATTGACCGTCCAATAACTCTCTATTAATATATATTTTTGTATGTGTTATTCTGGCCTGGCCATTGATGATAGGCCCGATATTTCGAGATACTCTCAAAAGTGTTCTTTAACTGCTAAGTTAAGAGATTTCATGTTTGAAAATAGTGTCACACATCCACCGAAATTAATGGTGTTTATAAAGTGGATGTCGTAAAATATTTTGACAGATTTCTTTAATACAGTCTCTTTCGCTTCAGACTGTAATTTCTATTTTTAAAATAATTTTCCTTATTTTACCGTTAATTCGTTTTAGTTTCACAATCATGAACACTCGAGGTAGCATTATGTCTCCCGAGAATTTCCACTTTGGTCCAGATGATGGGGACTTTAATGGGATTGTCTTGTAATGTTTCGGATATGGCGCGGTAGTCACTTTCTGTGTGATTAGTTACTATTAAGGTTCTTCCACATCTGACCAAAATGTTGTAATATAGGAAAGTTCGGAAAAGACCGACGATAAGAAATCCATTTACAGTAAAGTCCGCTTATAATAAACCCGGTTATAGTGAACTTTCGGTTAAAACGAACTTTTTCCTTTACTTGAAACGTCGTCCATAAAGACCAACGTATTTTTTTACTGCTTATAACGAACTCTTTTATAACGAACTTCCACGCTTAGCAACACCAATCCTGGGGAGTTGTTTATATTAGTGAGAGTGAGAGACAGCCAATGACTTGTTGTTTTTTGCCGCGATATGTATGTAAATCGTTTTAGAATGGAAAAACAAAAATGCAAAGCTTTTTCACTAAATGAAAAGTACGAGATTATTAACAAAATAAAAAGTGGAGTGAAGCAGAGTGACATTTGTAAGGAATTAGCACTTGGAAAGTCTACTGTTGCAACAATATGGAAAAACAGAGAAAACATTTTATCAGCGAATGACAAAACAAATGTAGGAAGTTAAAATTATCTGCACATGAAAAGGTTGACAAGGGACTTATTAAGTGGTTTACTCAAAAAACACAAGAAAACGTTTCCATAAGTGGCAGTGTTTGCAAGAAAATGCTAGTGAAATGGGGAGTAAAATCAAAACAAAGAGTTTGCTTGTTCTAAAAGTTGGGAACAGCGTTTCAAGAAGAGGCATAATATCAGTAGCGGAAAAATTGTTGGAGAGTCTGCCGGTGAAAAATTCT